AAAAAAAACAACGTTGAACGCTTAATATTTCTAATCTATTTTGCTACAAAAGCACTATAAATTCTTCTGAAGATAACGGCTTCATCTCAAAGTACGCAAACGTTCATCGTTCGAAGTTACCTAATCATGTTCAGTCATGTGCTTTCATACCCCATCATGTCAAGACATCAGACAATTTCGAATTTATTATTTAAAACGAACGAAGTATATAAATCAAATTTGGCCGTAAATATTGTCTTCCAAATTTAAATATCTATATCTATACCATATTTTAATTAGCAGGGTTTATTAAGTGAAATAAATTAGAATCTACAGAGCTTTCTCAATACTACAGAGGCTTACTTGCTCTACTACGAAAAACTTTGATTTCTTAGATCCCATAAATTTTTTCACCGCTCTTTTTCATCGCAGCTCTTATCAGAAGCAGCAGAGCGATTGAAAAAGCGGAATTCATCACAGTAGAAGATGACGCTCTCTAATGCATCAATAACTTCAGTGGTTGTTATGTTTGCGCGTTTATTCTGACTTCCTACGGTTTTTATTTCATCAACCCTTATTTCGTTTAGTCCAATGAGGGCCCAAATCGAAAGAAACTCTTGAAAAAAAATGCATACATATGCCGCTAGGACTATGAAGCGAAGTCTCTTCTGCAAATTTCATCAAATCTCCGAGCATTTTGGTTACTGAAAAATCATCAGTGAATACCAAAGTCACGAAGGGTCGGGTCGGTCGCGATTGTGTCAATGTTGCCACATTAATCCTGCCATTTTACGAAAATTTAGTTCAAGCACAGTGTTTGAGGCAGTTGATGAAGAGATACGAAGCCTCGCATTTGAGAACTCGAAGAATGTTTTGCCATTGTTCCCTTTACTCTAGTAAAATGCACCAATTGAACTTTTTATTTAGTTGTTAAAGGAATTGTCCAAAAGTGCAAGGAAAACTAAAAAACTCATTCCATAAAGAATCGTTCTTCGTCGCTTTTATCCATGTAGATACCTATTTATTATAATGGACAATGAACCGAACAATTTCGATGCACCTATGAACAACAGAGTCTGGTCATCATATTCGGTATACGAACGCAAGCGTCATTTAAGATCTAAAGGAATAATACCATTTTCTACTAAAGAGCTGCTGTTAATTTTCGCTGGCGGAGATATTTTTCTCCTCGCTTTAGAGAATTTGTTTAAAATCTGGTTGTTAGCGAGGAACGGCATAAAGAGCACAAAGGCTGTGATGTGTTCAGTACAAATAAGATGCTGGTTCGAACCCGCACCGGGCTAAGCAGGTACCCCTTTTTTCCTCAGTAGGGAAGCCGGTACTAGACTCGTCCGAGACCAGAATGGCTTCTTCCAATTTGAAAAAGTTGGGGAATACCTGTTATGAAGATCTTGGGATGTACTAGCCTGGTCATCCCAAGATTCAAAGGATAATTGACTGAAACATCATCATTCAAAGATTTTTGTAAAGAAGACTGGAGTTCCACAAGTAGCATCCGGACCAGTGAGTAAAAATCCGAAGACCTCCGTGAATGATGGATGCGAGAAAACCAACCGAGTGAAAGATGTGTTGCGATCCAGAAAACATGTGATGTCGAGTGGTGTTAAATAAGAAAATTGTAAGATAACTATTTCCCTTCAAGAAGAACTAAGTTGAAATGACCATACTTAATTGTCGTGGGCAAAACAGCTGCATCCGAAGAATACCACTGACTATCGAATAAAACAGAGTTTTCAAGTTGAAGCACACCGTAAATCCATGGTTTCCATACCTATGATTTCTAAGCTGCTCATGAAAGAAAAGACAAATGTGTTTTGCTAAAAAATTCTACTCCTAGATCATTTCTTGATATCCCAGTAGTGATGTTATTAACAGACACTTTCATCGGTACGATTTATATAACAAATGCAATCTTAGGACGCGTTTAGCATAGTGGTTAGTGCTTTGCAATACACATGATTGTTGGCCCGAACTCAGAGCCTGAGAGCCAACTAAATCCTCCACCCCTCCCTGGCCACTGGATTAGTGCCAGACTTGTCTGAAAGAAAGAAAAAAACACCGACTTGACGGATCGGCACGCCACCGCGCTTCATTATATATCACTTGATGAAGTCGAACACATAGCACATTCTTAGGTAGTGATCAGCATCAAACGCTTTATCCTTTATCCTTTACGGTTTCCCACGATCTCAGTAAAATTTCTCCGGTTTATTCCACTAAACTCAAGTCCGTATACTTCAAAACTTTTTGCACTAAAATTTCTCTTGTATGTTCAAGACATAGAGTCCTGTATAATATCTTGACATTACATTTAAATAATTAAATGACAACTGAAACATATTAGCATGCAAATAAGTTTTTATGCAATATAATATAGCAATTAGATGAAACTCATAACCAAATGAGTAAGATCTGTAGGCTTTGTTTCCATATGAAAAGCAACTTACATTCTTGAAAGCTGTAGATGAACAACTGCTGTCCTCGCGAGGAGCGGGGCTATAGATTTCACGTGCAGGTTGGAAAAAATTGAAATTCATCGGGACAAATTCAGTCATGGAGCAGCATGAATGGTCCAAACCGGGCTGAATAACAGGTATTAGAAAGCGTAGCTTGAGAGAATTCGTTAGGAAACAAGGATATCGAATGCTTCACTAGATCTACTAAACTATCATCGACGTCTTGGCTATGAAAGTCAACAAAATATATATATTTAACTGTATTTGAAAGAAAGAAGAAGCGTGCCGGAAGAGAAACGAAAAGTACAATGCTCAATAAGAACAAATGAATAGACAGGTCGGTTACGAATGCATTGGTGCGTTAATAAAACTGTGCAAGCTCTTCGAAACGGTTTTGGCGATAGTGAAGTGACCATTCGATTTCATATGCAAACAAAATGGCTCGTTATCAGCATAGGACTGATACAAATCAGCGGTCATTGCGACATCATTCGTTAAGTGATGGTAACGGGAAAATGACGGGCAAAATGAAGTAAGAGGACGAAAATCTGGAAAAGTAAAATATTGGCGAACTAATTCGCAATGAATGAGGAATGAGGAGAACGAGAAACTCTAAAGCTACTCGCAACTGGAAGACTTGCGGGCAGTATATATAAAGTAAATTACGCGTAAACGACGGCGCGCATACCGGTATGCGTGCCGGATTTCACTTTTTCCTGGGGAGCGCAACCTGAGATTAGAGACGATAGTATGTGATGGGACTCAATACGTTGTGTTTTCTGTACAATTTTTCTAAGCAAATGTTCACACAAGCTCTTACCGACTGCTCATTAAGATCGCTAGAGAAATCTTCTTACATTCTATTGAAGGCGCATGCTCAAGTAGCCAAACGAAGAGTGGAAAAGCAAGCGGTGACAAGTGAACCATTGGTTGGAACTGGTAGTTGCTAGTGAAACCAGTGCATGCGAATGTGAAGCGGAACAGTTGATAAATATGAGAACCTGGTCGTCCCTATCACAGGCATCCTTCCGTAAACAGTTGCCACACAATTTCTAAGCAACAGTTGGAGGAAATGCTGGCTGCCAAAACATCTGTTGTAAATGGCGGTGTGGTTGATAAAGTAAGGGGGATAAAGGGATGGGAAGGCCGACTGCCGCGCCAGTGTATTTGATGGTATCTAAGAAACGATGCCGTATGAACAGGTCTATCTACCACATTGCTTCTATGAAGTAACATTCTCAGATTCCATAGGTAATACGATAACAATAAAAGCCTCCTCAGTCCTCTACCTTACTAAAATGGAAGACTTCATCCTTGAAAAACATGTGCGCTTTACGACAAGATAAAAAGAATGGCGCGATTCCGTTAGTTTTACAAATGGGTTCTTACTCTTTTTCAGTACTGTTCCTGAATACAAAGAACTGCTCTAGTAGACCCTCACACAATGAAAGCCAACTTAAAAAAAATGAATTTGATCTTAATTTGGTAGCAGCAACGGTCAATATGTCCTAAAAATCTCCTTGGTCAGCGGTGGCAGAGTCCTTATCTTGGCTTGACCATCTGAACTGGCGGCAACAGCCTCGATGATGAGTGCGATTGCCGATGAAGATGTCAGCGTCCGACCTTGACGTGAGACATAACACTTTCTTGAGTACTTATGCAGCTCAGCGAATAGAATCCATAATAAGCTCGTCAACAACAAAGGTGGCGGAAAAAATGAGTCGCTAGGAAACAGACATCAACAGGTTGACACACCATGCTACCTACAGTTGCGACTTCGTTCAGCTGAAATTTCTAAACAAGACAATGGCCAAATCTACCCAATAAAAAAGTAAATTTTTAAAGGCAAACTGCAACTTATGGAAGGCAATGCAGATGCGATAGGTAGAGACATTTTAGAAAATGATCACCTGATCGTATAGTGGACACTTGCCTGAGTCGCTGTTTTTCGGCATGAGATTTGGTCGGAAATGCTGTAACAGAAGGGAGGAGCACAAAATCAGTAAATCACAAACAAAAATGGGTTAAGGCTCACATGCCAGCTTTTTTGAACAATTTTCAGATATACAATAGGTAAAAATTAATAAGAAAAATCGATGCGAGGAATGGACTTCAAAAAGGACGGTAACATACGTGTAATTTGACAAATGCACGTAATTATAAATAACAATAGAATATTCTCAGGGTACGAAAGGCCACTGCAAAGCCGAGGCTTCTTCGACTGAAGAAAAGTTAAGCAAAGACTTGTTAACAGCATGTATACCGTTTATAATCATAAAGTGAATGGTATTTGTTGTAGTGAAACATAATCTAACAGAGCACCTAAGTATCTAAGAGCCCTAGATCAGGAAAAGGTGTGGAAAAGTAGTAAGAAAAACAAACCACTATACAGCATAATTTTTCACACAAGCCATACGCATCTTGGGAAACATTACTTTGAAAGTCTTTGAAGATGTCACCTCCTCAGCGTTCACATGATTCAGTTCGACGACACACCCATAATCTAGCCGTATGATTACTGACTGAATGAACTGTGTTATGAGCATGTCTGACGACATTACTTGCTACGGCCAAAATGATCGTGTCGGTGACGTTCGTGCGTCGAGTCCAAAGAGTTGTGTTCTTCCCCTGCCACACCAGCCCACTAGTCGGCGGATCCCCGTGCTTGGTGAGGGCGAATGCCCTCGAGCGATAGACGGCAATCAATGCGCCAGCGTGTGCACACCTGACCGGGTGTACGTCATTGTGGCGAGGCACGAGATCGCCAATCCAGCAAAAACCGCGACCTCACAAAAAGACGTCCAGCCGGCCGGCCAGCTAGCCTCTAGCTCCGACAATGTCCACTACTGACGTGCTCGACTGAACACCACGAACATTTCCGGGCACATGTCAAACCATCGGGAAATATCCAGAATTCGGTTCTAAAAAAACTATCTAATATTGAAGTAATCAATAACCAGTTCCTATTATTTTGGTCGAGTGCAATATGGTCGTCCGAACGTTCGCGAATGAAAATCTATGCAGCTAATATTTATATAACACCTACGTCCATTGGATCACAGATGTAGAAATCTCAATGGCCAGTAGTGCACCTGCCAATATTGTGGAAATATATTTGGGAAGAAAAAGTCCAACACTTCATAAATTGGACAATGCCGAAAACATTTATATGAAACACGCTATCAGGAAGTAAGTGATAGTAGGTAAGAGCTTTATAACATACATTATTTTTTTCTATCTACGGTTCAGCAGAATACTCTATGGTTAATTCTCTTTCACAGTGAAAAGAAAAGCGAAATAGCACCACAATGAGAAGACCTGATATTTTGTAGTCTTTACCGCAGCATGGCTTAACTTACTCGTCGCAGTTACTTTTTTTCGAGTTCACTTTCCCTTTCTAGTGTATGCAGAATGATTGCGAAAATAAAAAACATATAAACATAAACTTTGAAAAGAAAGCGATAAGATTCTAACTGCTAAAAAAGGTTGAAATTACAGCTTGGACGATGTTCCCACAGAATGGAGAACTACTTGCGAGTGATGTATAATCTCAACTGAATTGACTCCAGTCAAACATAAGCCATTAGTCAAGAAACAATGAGAATCCGTAGCAACCGAAAATCGCCTTGTTTCATACAGTATACCAGCTCCATAGAGAAAACGTCGTGCCTTGCACGGAGTGCGAACATAGGTGCTGCTATTCAGGAATAACCATGCAAACGGTCATCACATTTGAAAGCCGTCTTGTACATGCACGCAACATTTGTGCTCGGATTACTATTTATTTACGATATTTACACATGATATAAACGAAGTTCGCGTAGTACCCTATATACGAGTCCAAATACTCTTACATCCAATCCAAAGAATACTCCACTACACTACAATTTTAAATGGGAATGAATACGTGTACCCGCGTAGCATCGGAAACTAGGCGTCGTTGGCTAAACCTCAGTAATAGTCGGTAGAAAACCTAGGCAGAGAGTATCTTTGCTATCCCTAATGGTTTCTCATATGCTGCTAAGGTATTCAAAAAACCGGCTCTAAAGAAAAGCTGCTAAGTAGAGCCTTTATCATGCGATTAAGAAATAGAAAGTTGTCGAATCAAGTGATAAAGACGAAAAAATCCTGCGGTTACGAAATATTGTGAAAGCTTATTACTGAATCTCTGCTACTCTACTTGAGGTAGACATAACTCGATAATATTCTCTGAGATGTCCTTCAATAAAATTTGTCGACGTGCACTTCCGTCAATTATAACGACATATTCTACCACCAATTAGTTCGTAATCTATTATCTTGACGTGACCAAACATCGCTACACACATGCCTTTAACCAGATAGCCATGCTATTGTTTTGATATGCCAGCCTCATTTAGACAACTGCGTGACAGCTAAGTTACGGTATTACGATATCCTTTCGGACACCGGATTTTCCTTTAACATATCACTTTTGAGCAATCAAATATTGTTCGAACAGTCGATCTAGCCTACTAACTGCAACGAATTGACGCCTTACGGATTTCAAAGCAGTGCATGGCATTACAAATTTACACTTCAATGTGTGTAAGAAACTGATGATATGTGGTGAACAAATTAAGCAAATGAAGAGGTTTGTGGGCTTTACAAACTTGTATCCTGGCGTACGATACGAAATTCATGACCGATACGTAATGAGTAAATTAAGAGGCGTAAAACAGTGGACACTAACTAGAGGATAAGTACTGAAAAGAGGAAATTCTGAGGAAGTAATGATTTGACGGAACGTCAATAGCTCAGGTTAGTGGGTTTCAGGTTGGACAAATAGTATGTAACAGGCGGTGGCAGCAGGCGGCGATTACCAAAACGGACAAACAGAACGCAATGCGACGCGACGAGGATGTACGGACAGGAGGATGTAAACCCGACTGGCCCCACATGCATAATCCGTCCACACAAGTACAGGGTCACACACATGCACCTATTCGTTTCTCGTACTACCTATAAATTCTGGATCAAATAACAGTAGCGCCAAGGAAGGCTGAGCGCACCGATTCCATTCGAAAAGGCTACAAATTGAAAAGAAAACAAGTTCTGAAAACATAGCATCATAACATGCAATGAACCATCTATTCCCACTATCTAAGTTAGAATTATAAGAGCTCCACGTGGTCATTTTTTCGTTTGTCAAAAGTGACAATTAAAACTAGTATTCCATGCACGCTACTTTTAACATGTTGATGACTGAAATACTTACCAGCTGCTTACTGAGTGCTCTTCACGCAAAAGTGAATAATCAAGATTGCAAAAATGCTGAAACTATCTTGCAATCCTCAAATCTCCTGGACACCTTAACTATGCATAAAAATATGAGCCTCTGTATGTACTTGGTGTGAATGACAATTAACAAGACAAATACATGAAATAAATTGAGTGGTCTTGAGGATACGCTAGCGCAACCATAAGTGAATGTGGTTAAGAAACAATTCTAGGGTAAGAAATTCTTTAATGTGCATTCACTCAACCGTTTGCGAAATGTGAAAAGCTGAAGCTCACTGCGCTCCGCACGTGGTCACTAGGAAACAGTGGTGCTTTTGGTGTCGATAATCATTAGCACTTTCTCTCATTTGCCGGCCATACGTTTAGAGTTCCTGCTTGCGAAGTTCACGCCCATTAAAGCTGAGATTTATTGAACAAAGCTTTAATACGAGACTATTCTGTCTCCGAGAAGGAATTGTGCAGGTGAAGAGCAGGAGACTAAGTTCTAAAGCAGCTCACCGTCTGCCTTGCCTGGTAATTTCGCTCTTGCTGATTACCGAACAACAAGTATGAGGTATCCACAAACATGGAGGGACTAGCAACTCAAGAAGAAATATCGGAGATGAACCATTGAGAATGCACGAATGTGAGTTATTAGTGGTTCTACACGATCGAGAAGTGAAACGGACAAAGACCACACAGTCATTCAACAGAGATAAGGAAACGGTAGAGTAGTAAATGTGTAAGAAGAAGGGCACGATACGTCATGTTTAGAAATGATGGAGCAATGACATTTAACTATTGTCAAATCGACACGCTATTCTCTTCGTGCTCTGCATTGCAAAGGCTGCGTGCATGACGAAGCTTCAACCGTACTATCGGCAGAAACCGGCACGATGACAGCATTCCTTTCCACGAATGTGGTACTACTGCACTGTATTTTTAACCACTCACAACGATCAAAAGCATGTATCATGAAACAACTGGCTGTTCTGATTATTAACGCCATCTAGTCGATGAAAAAACAAGAGTTAGAGCAGAAAACTGAAGAGTAACATTATTTCATAATGGTGTTTCCTGAGTATTTAGGTTCCGCTTGGTGTACAGCTAACAACTTCACAGTGCTGCCCTGCATTGAAAGAAACTTCAACGATCATGTAACTGAAAACACAATCTGGCCAAAATTAATAAATGTCCCTCTCAACTACTCCAGTACAGATCAGAAAAATTAGTGGAAATGCCACACCAACTTTGCTAGGCAGGTAAACACTCAAAATATTCGAACCGATCGTCGATGGGTCTTGAGGCAACATAACGAATGTGGAGCCTCGAGAGTAACAGCATTAGTAAAAGATTATATTGAAGGCGTGAATTTTTCCTTCTACCAACAAAGACAATTTCTCTGTGTTTCTTTTGAGCCATGTACCAGACAATTTTGAAGTTCTTAATTTTCATCATCCATGATCCCTTCAACAATAAAATCATTTAAGTGAACAGTAATAAAGCCTACAGTCTTTCTTGCCGCACTTCATAGTTGCTCAGCATGCACCAGATGATTATGAGACACAAAGAGCATCGAACTTTTCCAGAGACGCTCTTTATTCCATTTGCTTTTAGCGAAAGGACGCCTATGAATAACTCACGGCGCTCTACCGTATAAGACGTATATGCTCACGGGTATCTTGTTCAGCTCATCGACAGGAAACGTGGGCGATAGTTTCTGGAGACGTCCCCAAACTGCCTTCCATGCATTTATGAGCTGCTTGGTTACTGGCTTTTTCTCAATTAAAGACGCAGAATAGAACTCACATTCAAGCAAGCACACCGATGAACGTATATATGGGTGTGATCGTTCTTGAAAATATGAGTCAATCCGACAGAGACAGAGTACATCCAATAAATCCCACGGGACACGTCACATAGCTTAGCAACTAACTGGCTGAAGATCTCTCACGTAAGAGAGCTTCGTGGATAAACAAATCACTAACTAATGAGTTGCTAAATCATTGAGTAACTGTGGAAAATTTTGTTGAGGGATTTTCATGAGAGATAATCGAAGAAATTTCTTTAAAGATTTTGCGTCAAATACATAGAATTTGGATAGAAGCAATGCAAAGGATCCGTTGACGTGTTTCAAGATTCCGAAAATATTTTGCAAGGTATGGAAAGACGTAGCACTTTAGAAAAAATAGAACAACATGCTTCACTAACGACATTGGGAAAACGAAATACCTTGAACACAAAGGGCTCACTGCATGAGAATGACAGGTTGTTGCTGTATGAGATAAGGGAGTTATCGATGGGAAAGCTCGAAGTTAGCGCGTCTTTTCGAAGTGACCGATGACCAGTCCCGATTGCGCAATATGCAAATGCCGCCGGCGGGCGGCCGCGGAGTGGGCGAGCAGGCGATGGTGTACGTGGGCGGGCGAGAGAAAGCGCGTCCGGCGAGTGGTCAGTCGACGAGGAGGCGCTCCAGCCGAGCACGCCGAGGCGACGAGCACACGCGCCAGCCCGGATGGCCGCCTGGAAGCTGGCCAGCTGCCCGGACTCGTCCGATGGTGTCGTCGTCGGTGGCTCGACGCCAGGCTGGCTAACGGGCGTTCCGCTGCTGGAAACGAATGCATTGCCACGGAACGACCGTGAGCATTCTCCTCTTTTGAACCAACATGGATACTGTTTGAACAAGATGAGAAGGTATATTCTTGGTAGGTGCAAAAAGACAAATAAACAGCATGGACGTCGCTATGGTTATGCAAAAGCGACATCAGCGCATGACTATAACGAACGAGTATGACGGAAGTCGACTCGATTACTAGTGTCAACAACTTTTTCTCCGCACTAGAAGTCATGGTCATAAAGATGATCTGTCCATTTTGAAACACCTGACGCGTCGTGGAACAACGGCAATTGCTAACTATTGCTACGGCGTTGTAATTTCGAAGAAATTCGAGTGAAATTCGTCCAGCCGGCTAAAGTTTGAAACCAACCAAGACGAGAATCGACACATATTCTTTCGTATGCTTCGATAAGCTAACACGAATTTGATTGAAAAAACACTTTACTCGACTAACACTCTAGTTCCCCCTCTTTTTCAGAGCCGGATTAATCGGAATCGATTGTCCACGGCCATTCATTCTTCCGATGTGGATCTTCGTGATTGCATTGAGTCGAATACAGTGCAGTGGAGCACCACTCAAATGAAGCAAGCTCACTCGGAAATGCCCTTTTATATAGGACGGTTGCTGAGTGACTGATTGCCGGTTAACGTTAACTTTTTTCCGAGCGGTCCCTCCTGCGATAGTCGGTATTACGTTAGCCGGCACAAAGCGGAGCAATATTTCTTGAAATCGACTTTGTCACATGTTTATATTATTTCACATTTTCGAAAACCTACTTTTACTCCATAATTGAAAAGGAGCACGAAATTTTTGTGAAACTGCTGCACTAGCAACGACAAGTATGTTGAACATGTAGGATAACTCCTTTGAGCTATTCGTTCTCTCAGCCACTTTGAGATACGTAACTTTCCTTTTACTTACATCGACTCCTAATATAAATTTGCTTTCTACGGTAGCATTCGCGACACATCCAGATTTTATAACGAACACTGAATCGACCATTTTTCTCGTGGCTAGCTGAGCGTGGCACATTCTCACGCTATGGCCGGTTTCGCGTGCGTCGCTATTTCGGAACGCCTCCGTCCGTCCGTCTGTCCGTACGTCCGCTCTTGCGTTTCTCCGTCATAGTGGACACCGAGGACAGTCGGGAATCGATGGGCTTCATCGTAGCCTGAACACCAAGAAGTCTTGTGTTCTCTCATCACTGCTCCTACAACTCTGCGTCTTATATTAGCACACGTTCTTTCGGCCTCAAACCGCACATGTGGCTCAAATATTTACCAATAATAATGCCGGAAGTGAAAATGGGAATGCCATGCGGTTTTCTGCGAGAGGAAGCTGCTGCACTGCACCTGTGCGGTTTCATGAATGCGACGATAGCAATTAGAAAGAACAGCTACCCGTACAGATAATTTTCTCCTACGAGATGCCGAAACGGCGAAAGCAGCAGGATAGAAGTGTGATTTGCCACCAGTGCTGAGAATAAATGCAGAATTTTCGTCCATCACCTGTGCTACTCTCTCGTAGACTATAGTAGAGGAGAATTGAATAATATTTGATTAAAGCGACATAATTCGCTGTTTTTCTTCAATAAGCAGACACGAGGTTGGTATTTTAGAAGTTACTGGGATACCATCTTTTGTATCCTGATAAATTCTATAATACCAACCTCGTGTCTGCTTATTGAGGAAAAACAGCGAATTATCAATCAAGGCAGAGGTTAGTAAAAAGTCTGCCTTGGCTAAAGCAACATATTCCACGCATGTGATAGCTGAGACGTGTCTAGTGCTTCAAGATCACATCGTTCAACAACCATGTTGTCCTAATTTTTATATTGCAACTTCTTTTATAAAAACTGCTTCCATTTAACAAATTTTAAATGAAATTCTTGGCGGAGAATTGAAGATATCGAAGGGAGAAACGATCCTGTAGTGTTGACCAATGTACATCATCCGGTGGAAAACGCATTCTCCTTTTGTTAGGTCGTGATGTTCACAAACGGTCTCGATTACCACTACTACTAATATTATGTTCTTGTTGTTGTTGTTAATAAATTCGCTCTTCAGCGATCAGCAACACTGTGGTACCAGTCATCTGAAAATACTATTGAGCTGATATGTGTCGGTCAAATGCGATTTTTCCCAAAATTAATTTTGATGCCCAGGACTTTCCTCTCGCTATTCTTTGACATATGGCCAACAGAGACTGTTTGAGCGCAAGCCAGAGAAACTATGACCATTATCCCATGTTTGCTTTTCCATCACTTTGCCAAATCGCATAACACATTGAGAAAATAGTTAATTTAAACCACAGCGAAACCAATTAGAAGAACGCTTTGAAGTGACATACTGCCCTTGGGTTACAATATGCGCGGAAGTTTTCACTGTTTCTAAATGAAATTATGTTATAACTGCTTCTGTGCACTGGAAGATCTGAATAAACAACGGCAGTTTTTATTTCGGCTCAACAGTAATTCCTTTCTAAAAATTAGTCCCTTTGATTAGTTGAAGTGACTATGCTTGCAGATCGCTAACATATGCGCACATCTGAAACGATCACAAATCAACTCACTTGGGCAAAAACCGAAACAACCGTATGGGTTGTTCAGAAATAAATGAGCGTCTGCAACTGCTTTATTTAGAATGTCATGAGTTGCTTCAAACAGAACCTTATTAATCAAAATGAAAACCTTTTGAATCCATACATTTTCGCCAATAAAAAACAAGTTTATTTACTCCAGCTGCATAAAATTTTGAGGTTCTGGAAGCGATGAACTTCGTTTTTTTTGGTTCCGTTGAAGGCATTTTTTGTGTTATCGTGGTTGGTGAAGCATTTCTCATTGTTGTCAAAGTTGTCAAGATGCTTGAAGAAATGATAATCAGTAGACGAGTGGTATGATGAATATGGCGGATGAGGCAATGTTTCGTAGCGCAACTCGTTTAACCTCAACTTGTTGTTGGAGTTTACGTGCATTTCTTCAATTTGTTGGCAATAATTCCCTGCTGTAATCGCTCCGCTAGGATTCAAAAAGCTGTGATCAACTCGGCTGCAGACCACCAAGCAGTCACCATAACCTTTTTCGGTGCACCTCTAGCTTAGGGAAGTGCTATGGGGCCTGGTCGCAATCCAACCATTAAGCTGAGCGTCGTCGTACAGAATCTATTTCTCGTCGGAGATCACAATTCGATCAAAAAAAGGGTCGTTTTTGTTGCGCAGAGTAGGAGCAGAGGACACTTCAAAACGGCGATTTTTGTGATAATCGTTTAATTTGTACGGCACACACTTGTCGAGCTTTTTTGTCTTTCCTATCCGATTCAAGTAAGTGGAAATTGCATCTGTGCTTACGCCAAACTGTTCTGCAAGTTTCGAACAGTTGTTCGCATCTTTGCTTCCACTGATGCCTTCAAGTTCGTCGTCTTCAAGTTCACTGAGACGCCCGCGGCCTTCATTATCTTCGAGGTCGAAATCGCCAGATCGGAACATCCGGAAGCATTTGCACTGTTAATTCACCAACACTACCTTCTGCCCAAGCTTTATTAATGTTTCGACCCGTCTTTGCTGCACTATGACCAAGTTTGGATTCATAAAAAAAAATTTGACGAAAACTCATTTTTGACACCTAAAATTGCAAAGCTCAAAATTGGTGAAAAAATTTTATTTTTGCCAAAACGTAAAAATGTGGTTAAAAAGAGCACAAAATCGGCTTTCTCATGAAATGTAATATTGCAAGGCACAAAGAATATCTTGTGGTAAAAAATACATTAAAGCAATAAGGATTTTAAAACGCTCATTCATTTCTGAACAACTTAATACCGAAAAACGGTGTTCGTCACTTCAAGCACTTACACTGCTTTAGATAATTCGCGACAACGTATGTTTTTCAATCACCGATACGTGGAACAGTGGCCGTTTTCTTCTCAGTCATCACATGATCCATATTCTGTGACTTGCATGCGGAACGCCGCGTATGACTCACTTGTTACCGAAGAATAGCTCTTTTTTCCTTGACTTTCTCATCTGTAGCACTTGTTCTGACTTTGATTGTCGACTCGAGAGGGCGCTAGTAAACTCTCAATTCGTTCACCTGGTGCGCAGAATTATCCCTCTATACCTTCCATTATCGAGGATCTAGAAGGATATAATGCTTTCTTCCCAATATTTTCGTGAATAATTCTGACCACAAAGACGTCTGACATGCCATAGGACCCAGTTGTTGATGGCTCTTTTGCAATCAATCGTTGTAGGATATGTTGCTACAGACGGTAGTTGTCGAAACAGATTGTCACTTCGAATTCCCTTTTTCAACTGCATGATACTACGGATATTGTTTACGTCATCTTTGTGAAGGCAGATCCGATAACGTTGAATGATCACGCATTCTTTCCACTTAGCTAACATTTTCTTTGGGCGTGAATGACATCAGAAGGGAATCAGTTCCTCATGAACAACATTTCCTAAATGTTCAACCAAACGTGTTTTTCAAAGTGGGCTTTCACAATCGGCCAGTATTCATTGTGCCTAGCTAGTACCTATAATATTAACGACAACATAAGCCAAGCGAAAATAGTGCATCTCCGTGTGAACTAAGTCTAGTCTCATATTATTCCATTCCAGCTCTCACTTGATGTATGTTGGTAAATGATTGTGGGAAGATGACAGCGATTTATCGAATCCACTCATTTCAATATCAGTACTTTTGTAGAATGATGATTTCGTGCTATTCTGCCTGTTAAAATCTTATATATTATAGCTCATGAACGGTCTTTGTATATTGAGCAGGAAGGAAATTATAATAGTATCCTGATCTTCCATGGCCGTTTATCTCTCAAACTGGAACAAAAGCTTTTTCTAAGTCGGTAGAGGTGGGACAATGCATTCTCTTGTACTCATCACGATACTTCGATCATTTCATTATCCTTATGATTGATTGTACTATATTCTTCTCGAAACCCTGTTTGATATCATGGATATTTTCC